CATAGATAAAACTGACGACAACAACTTCATGACTATTTCAAATTTTATAAAACTTTTCTCTGTCTTCAAAAAAGACAGACAATAATTGGCTGTTAAAGTAGCCGTACCTAATTTATTTGCACCCTGTATATGTATATATACGTTTATGGTATAAACTTATGGGTACGGATCCTTCCCACTGGGAGACAAGCGTGTTGATAATAAAAATATATCTTATTAGATAGCGTATATGGCTGTATGTGTATTATCAACAAAAACGAAGTCCAGGAAATTCTTTTTCTCAGGCTGCACTATCACGTACAGTTAACATACTGGTATTGTTCTGAAGCCTTTTTAGTTATTCTACTCTCGTATAGCCGACCCTTTTCCGCCTTACGTATAGTGGGGACCCCCTTTGGGTCAATATGAACTGGGTGGATCAACAAATAAAAGGAAACCACCAACAAAGAAGATCTTGTTTGAAACACACGGAGTGGACATCGAGTATCAATTCTCACTGGTCGTCGTAATGGTTTGTTGACTTTTCCAATCTATCCTGAGACTTGGTACAAATTGTTATAGCGAAATACCTATAGGTAGTTTCTGGGTAAATTTTTTGTTTCGATGAAAAACAATTGGGTAGAGAATTTTGGAAACTATCGGTTCTTTTCTAAAGGTTAGGATTGACTCACGATGGGATTAGTAAAATCCTCGAAACGATGTTTTTATGGAAAAGACAAGATTACGCAAATTAGATCCTAAAAAATACTTTCATTTCCAATATATAGCAATCGCGATAAAGTGACATAATTCGAAAAAAGTCATTTTCAAGCAACAGCAATGTAAAAAGCAGTAGAGCTCCTTGTAAAATAGGTCGTCCAGGAAAGTACTGCCATCTTACCTATTTCTGCCGTCGAGCAGTAAATCACTGCATGTTAGCCCCGCCTACTAACTCACTGAACGTGTATTACGACACAAACTTACTAGTTTAGTCTTTAGTATCATGCGGTCTCGCACAATTACACTCAGTAATGTGACCAATACTGTGTTTCAATTTTGAAGGATTAGGGTGCTGGTGAAAATACACACGGGACTTGTCAGCTTATGTCTCAAGGTGACGGACCCAGTTACAGTGCCCCTCAGATCTGTTTAAAAGAAGAGTCCTAGGGGGCCGGTATGGGTCTTGGAAGCAAATGGGGGGCGTTGATGCTATCCACGGGGTACTACCGCATTTGAAAAAAAACCTGAATTATAATAATGTATAAATAATATAAATAACGCACACACTCAACATAACCCACCACTAGGGAAAGCCTCTGTCGCGGGTGCCATGGACACACACACATAGACAACCACAAATTACACCCAAACTCACGAGAGAAATAAATGGCCTAACAAATATTTCTCACCCGGTCCGGGAATCGTACCTGGGACCTCTGCGTGGCAGTCCATGGTAATCATGGTCATGGAGGCAATTATCTATATTAACTACACTACAAATATATAATTTTTTTCCTAGTGATTTTTGTCTGTTAAGTTAATATAAAAAAATTCGTGTTTTCAATAATTTTTTGTGGTGGTGGGTGTCCAAATTTTTTTATCTTGCCTAAGTGGGCGGTGAGGCAAAAATTTCTTTTATTTACTTATACATTTTAGGAAAATTCACGGACAAATAATACAATTATAGTATACTTAAATATGAGTAATCCAATGCCATTTACGAATTTTCACCAACATGAAACAATATAAAGTGTTTAGCAAGCCAAAAAAAGATTATAAGAGGAAACAAAAAACACAGATACATAAAAAAAGCACAAAATAATTGACAATTAGACAAAAACCAGTGTAATTATTGCGTGATGTGAATCGTGATGTGAATCACGTGATGTGTAACGTTTGTCATTAATCGCCTGAAAAGTTTGGGAACCAAGAATTTAAATAATGTTAATTTGGCTTCATTACTACAACGAGCAAACCTATGAGCTAGCATATTAAATCGTGCCGCTCACCGCTCTCATCCTTGAAATCATCAGTGATACAATGACCTGGATTAAAAATATTAATAAACTCTACTGAGAGTATTTTTCCGGATTTAAATCGCGTATATTTGTTTTTTCAAACAAACCGATGTTTCGGGCCCTTTACAGGTCCCATGGTCACGTGAAACCACCAACAGTCGAGCGAAGATCTGCCATCTTACCTTACGTGAGAGGTGTTACAGACAAGATCGGAAGGGTCTTCAGGCGTGCATCTATCAAGACCTATTTCAAGCCCCTGAGGAAGATTTCTCAGCTCTTGAGACCCGTGAAATGTAACATCCCCTTACAGGATGCAGGAACGTCGTCAAAGTCCGGCGTCAAAGAACATATAGCTGATGTCAAACACCGTCGCGTAAACAAGTCTGCAGTCTGCGAGCATGTCATGGATAAACCTACACATTCAATGAAGTTTGACAAACCCCAGGTCCTTGCAAAATAAGTCCGTTATCTACCAAGGATGCTGCGAGAGGCCATTGAAATTAAATACATCCTAATTTCAACAGGGAAGATGATTTCTCCGCACCACCAGTTTGGGATCCAGTATTTCCTCTAATGAAAAATCCCAAACAGACATAAGACTGCAGTACTAATTAATATGTTTTAGTTTATACTAATTTCTATTAATAATTAATAATAAATTGAACTTAATAAAAATTCATTCAATAAAATAATTTGTAAAACTTAATATAGCGTAAATTGGAATGTTTTCTTTGTAAAATTAAAAATAAGGTATTTAATTAATAATTATTGTAACAATAGTGAAAAAAATATGGTGGTTTGCATCAATATTAGACATAACTGGTTGAAGACTGTACCACCTCAGTCAACCGTGACCATGGGACCTGTAAAGGGACCGAAACGTCGGTTTGTTTAAAAAAACAAATATATGCGATTTAAATCCGGAAAAATAGTTTCATTTCCTATGAGTAACAATCGCGAAAACCTAAGAACTCGATATCTACTGAGAGGTTACTCGTTCAACTCAATGGTCGGTTCATAGGCCATTTTCTCATCGAGTACACCAAAGATATATAATATACATATTTTCACTTTTGTATTATATTATATACCAAACCATGTGTAAATAGCATATTCCTGATAACTGTTCAACAACTCTAACCGATCCAGCTGTACGACCTAACGGCACCATAACGTGTTTCGTTAGTAACTTTTTTTATTATGTCATATCTAAACATTTTATGTTTCGAATTTGGTCATTTTATTATTGAGGGTCTAATTTGTGCGGTTGTGGCATACGCAAAAGGATCTCATTCAGTTAAAGCCACAGCCGACTGTGACTCTGGTTTTAAATGGACCCTAAAACGAAACGTGGTAAAGTGTTTTGTCATAATACGACTGTGATGCTCAATAAAGAATTAAAGGTCAATTTATAAGAATTCATTTTGTAAAGCTGCATAAAATGAGCGATTACCAAATCTACCGACATCCGTCCGAAACAATTACTGTCAAATAAGTAATATTCGACAAAATTAAAAGACAAGTATCAAGTATGACGCATCATTCGCATCACGCGTCTTTTTCATTTGGTCAAGTATTGTTTTTTGATTGATGTCAGACGGAGATCGAGAGTAGACCCCCAGATATTTTCTAAAATCCCATTTGAAACATCACACGCTGAGCCTGCGGTAAAATTTCACCTCCTTTATTGGATTTAGTTATCCCTATAAAAATATTGCTTTTCATAATAATAGTGTGGAATCTTAAGTCCACAATCCACAAATCCTCCCTTATTTTGTATTTTGTTTTTTCTGTGAAATTCGATCCCTTTTTTGTTTACAGCATATAATATGCTCGAGATTTCTCGGCATCTCGAATATGTAAGAAGCTTTTGAAACGTAAATCTACATGATGTAGGTTGGAATAACATACTGTAGTTTCGCATTAAGTACTTATTTATTGTTTGTTTTTTGTTTACGTGTATCTGTGTGCGTTATCTAAAAAAAAAATATTTTTACTCTTTTTGTGTACGAATATTGCATGGCTTTGTACCAATAACCAATCTGACAAAAGTCGAGATGTAATAAATACTTTTGAATATTGAATCATCATATGCCTTATTTTTGGGATGTGTATTGTCTGTACGTGTACGGTCTGTATGTGAGACGCGTATTCCACATTTAAAAAGATCCTTGACAATTTAAAAGTGTCAAAAGTTCGGACACTTGTACGTGCCACATAAACCTCTAAAGAAAATCTTTAACTGGGACTAATTTTAATGAGTTTTAAATGTGCTATTCAAGTACAAGACCCTAAAATAATCAAAAGTTACTTGCCTTGTTTATCAAATGTGTAACTAAGTGGAAGCCATTTTGAAGCTCAACATTTGAATGTTGAGTTTTATATTAAGTTTTCCAACTTACTCATATAAAGCTAATATTTTGTCTTTATAATACTGTACCAGCAAAAAATAACGAAATGGCGTATAAAACATTTCATGTGGCGTAATTTCTTTCGTATTTTTAGCAAGGTATAGACAATCTTGGGAAATCATTCGTTCTTCCTATTGCTCTAAGAATAATATATAACTTGGTTGACAGGTTTGTTACAGTGAGCTTTCATTGAAATCAGATTGTTTTTTGAAAGATTATGGTAGACCCATAGTTACAATATTACTTTTTTCGTAGTTTAAAATAGCTCAAAATATTTATTGATGACTGGGCAATCTATCCATCAGTCAGACTAATTGTCTTGCATTACTATTACATTACTACTACATTAAGGTATCGAGTTTCCATAATTAACATTATTAGATCAAATTGTTCGTAATTACTTGTAGTATTTAAAAATTAAACCAGGACTTTCATAAAGTCACATTAAGCCGTCATTCATAAATTGGTGTAGTTCTAAAACAACATTATCAACACTCGCGCTTTACGCGTGTCGTGCTTAAATATCCACTGTCAAAAGAATTAATAACTTGCAAAATTATGTAGATAAGACATTATTGAGTCAATGACTTACCTCAATCTGTATACTAGCAGCTCTGTAGGCCCTGTCGGCAGTGTTTTGTGCTTGACAAGTATACGTTTGATTGTGATTCTCCTGCTTCGGTGTCATCTTCAATATGGACCTATAAAGCAACATACATATTTACAATTTATTCATTGGAAATTGCTTGTTGATACTTCTGTCAACAGAGTCGAACTTGTACTAGAGTGAAGAAATTATTTTCGTTCCACAGTTCAGTCTGAGCAGTACTCAGAACATCGGTATCAATAAACAAAAGTTCGTTTTCCTAAATTGGTCTGTTCGAGAAACCGCTGGTACACTGAGTTCGTAATTGGACTACCTCATTTTGGTTCCTTTCTTTTGACTGTCCTATTAGGCATATATTCTATTTGGCAAGCAACCTAACCCTTTAACTCTCTGACTAAGCAATGCAGACAATCCTTTACGCCGTCCAAGGTAAATTTTCCAACTAATCATCTTTACGAATGTGTGAAAGGTATTTGTCGGTTGCAGACTTTAGGAGTTTAAAGCATCATCTTGTAATACTAACCTAGCCGTAAATCGCTGCCCGTCTGGTAAAGCTTCAACACTGTAGGAGACTCCTTGAGTGATGACTCCAGCATTGCTGTCTACCCATGTGATCTGAAACAAAAGATAATCTGTTTCTAAACAGGCCAGACGAGAAGGGCTTAATTAATTTTGATTTACATAACCGCTCACGCGATGCGCTCCTCTTACCGCAAAATGGCGGCTATTTGGTTTCGCAAATTAGAAAAGCATTTAGTTTAAATACAAGTTTTTATAAATAAAAATTATTATTCTGCATTGCTAAATAAATACCCTCCGTATTACCAACAAAAACATCTCAAATAAAATGCAGTAATACACCGCAAATCCTGCACTTACAAAGCACTAATGAAATTTTTGGTGTACTTGGATAAATATGATAATATTCCGTTTGCGTGGTTCTAACGTTTACCATGAAATTACTCCTTAAAGTATAGTTTATAAACATTTATATTCAGGGTTAACTTAAAAAACGCTACTTACGGTATGTTTTCAATAAATAAACACCGAAATCACCAGCCCAAACAATAGCGCACACGATTGTCGTGACGTATTTTTGAAGTCGTTTATTTTTTTTTAAATGACAGACCCAGGCATTAAAAACTTTATGGTTTGCTAGAGTAGTTACCGAAATAGCAATTAATATTAGTTCTTTTACCTACTATAACTTCGATATCCGATAAATCGGTATAAAATTATCACCGGCACCTCTAGGTGTGGTATGCGTCTACGGCTGCATGTATCGCGTGAGCGGTTAACTCGCTAACAGTGTTACCAAGTGAGAGACCACTATTATACCCACATTAGGAAGGGACGTTTTTAGGAATAAAATCTTTATAGTTGAAAATTGTTTGTACCTAAGACATTTAACTACTTTCTTTCACTGGACGAAGAAGTCACTGTGTCTTAAACGACACGCCTATCCATAGTAGTTGCATTACCACTCAGAGCTTTAAATCGCAAAGAACACCGCCACTGCGCCCGTTAGAGATGTCCTGGTATATGTGATCAGTGGTTCATATGAACGTTGTTTTTATAATTCAACCTTCGGTGCTTTGTAGAAAGGGAGTAAGCGACATTACGAACCTTTTTCAGGGGACCATGTTTTAGGTTTTCAGGACTGTTTTAAAATATTTACGTTCTGTTTTAAATACAATTTTACTTAATTAAAATCAAACCTACAAAACATCGTCATGAAAGAAGATCGAGGAGGAAAAAGATTTTATCGTCTTACATGATCCTAAAAATAGGCTTTAATGCTATTACTTCTTGTGTCTATGATTGACATGATAATACATAAATAATGCATATAAATAAAACATAATGTATGTAAGAATGTATACCGCCAGTGCTTTTATCAACAATAACGCTCACACTCAACATAGCCCCGCACTAGGGAAACCCTGTGTCGCGGGTGCCATGGACACACACATAGACAACCACAAATTATACCCAAACTCACGAGAGAAATAAATGTAGGCCATACAAATATTTCTTCCAGCCCGGGAATCGAACCTGGTACCTCTGCGTGGCAGTCCGGCATGATTACCGTTCGACCACGGAGACAGTTAGTTATCAACAATAATCAATGGATGACTACATTTTAAAGTATATTCAATACTTTCGTGCTTAATCGTCGGGCAAACGATTGCTTCTCAGTTAGCGAGGTGGATGCTTCGAATCCCTGAAGCAGCATATTACCATTAGCATTAACTTCAAAAATTCCCAGCTTGGAAAACGTGTGAACCTCTCAACCAACCCTCAGCTTAGAGGAGACCTGACCCAGCAATGGAATGAATAATGTAATATATCATTTACCACATAGTTATCTATCTATATTACATGAATGTATTGCCTGTACCTAGTGTAACGTTTGTAAATACATTCTAACCTACCAAAATCATTTCAAAACCAGTGAATACCTAATAAACATCATTTTTAATTTGAACCGTAATTGTATCGACCCCGTGGGTGACATACCCGTTTCGTTCAAATGGATTAAAAAGCTTAACACCTCAACGAAATTGAATGCTGACGTAATATGATTAAATTTAATGGTTCAGGAAAAATCTCTAAGGACATTAGGGATGGGCACTTTCATTTTTACGATATTTTTAATTTTGATAATGTTGTTGTAACAGTTAATAATTCAAAAAAATATTGATTGGTTTGTTAAGTTAATGGATAATGTGGAAGACATTTTTTTTATTAATCTTAGTGTTTCTTGTCTGGGTGGTATCTAAGAATGTAAATTTTTAGTTACGGAATTTACGTTGCCATAGTTTCTAGATTTCGAAACAATGTGGTATTTTTCATGATCACAAAATATATCTTAAGTCTATCGAGTTTTTAGGTTTTTGCGATTGTTATTTAAAGGAGATAAAACAATTTTTTCGGATCTAAAACGTGTATATTTGTTCTTTGAAACAAACCAACGTTTCGAGTCCATTACACTTTAATTCTATTATCCAGTCTTTACGGTGTCAACAGAGATGCTATGTTTAAAGATTTTTTTAAATATCTATTAAAACACATTTCGTTTTTACGGTTTTGTTGAAAACGAAATCGAAAAGATTTCTTTTCACACAATAAAATTTTATTCAAAGCTATGGAGTCAGTTTTGATACATGTGAGTGTAAACATCGAAACCCATCCTTGTGTAATTATAATTATGTCAACATTGTATGTAATCCAAAGAAAATGGAACCACTCCGTAACATTCTTCTTTACTGTCTCCGATCTCGTTGTATGTCGAGCTCTGAAGCTCAACTTATGTACATCATGAGATTATGAGCATGACAAAAGCTGTTTGCGACCGATACTCGTCATGTTATTGCCAAAATTTCTATATTGTGACAAATCCGTTATCGTACGGGAATTGGGCCATAGAAAATTGTACTAATGTAACGAAAAACACCATAAATGTATTTTCAAATACGTGGGCAGATAAGATGTGACAAAAAGAAGAAAAAGAGTTGTGTGTAGTGTTAACGAGAGCACATATGTCTCTCGGTACGGAGCAATGGTCTTGAACACTCTAAAGCATTGGTTAATGCCTACTGTGCTACAACTATTGAGAAATTCTGCCACTGGGCAGAAATTTCATCATAATATTGATTAGAGCGTTAACAAGACTCTGAGGCTTGAATAAACACATGTTCAATTTAAATCTGAGAGAGAGCAGATAATGTAGATTCTGTTTCAAATCTCCTTACACCTGATTACCCAATATTAATTACCCTTTGATGGGCGGAAACTCCATACTGGGAAGGGAAATGCCACAAATAGATGACATTAAAACAGTAGAAGACAGGAGAATTCTTCATTTCTTTAACTTAGATGACAAAAGATCAATAATTAATGGTCTGATGGGCTGCATAGATCCTGAATGACCTTAATATTAACAATAAAGTGTAAGCATCGTATACGTGTGTGGTAGTTTGGTTGTTAAATATAAGGCATTTTTTGTATCATTATCCTATTTAAGAGCCAGGCTCTTGTCGGTGTAGCCTCCTCCATTTCTCAAGGTTCATGGTCAGCTCCTTGACCTACACCTGCACTTTCATTCTTTCCCTTTATACTTTGATCTTCTTCTTTAGTTGTCACTGGCATATTTTTGTATGTTACCTAATAAATGACACGTTGGTTTCCCCTCACTAAACCACAACAAGAATGGATTTGATGTGAAAGGAAGCAACAACAATTCCCAACGGCAATGTTAACTTCGAGTACAAGATTTAGACAGACGTGAAACAAGACCTTTCTTGTGAGAGATAGGTAATACAATATTACATTATATTACCAAATATATAATACAATATATTAGACACTGCGTACACAATAGTTCTATATGGTAATACGGATACGCATTGTATGTCATGCTTCAACTGTGAATTGTGATAGACGTAAATGTTCTCAGTAGCTATTTTCGAAATTCCAGGGATGATGGTTACTTTGAGTTTGTGCTTTATATTATATTATTATTATTTATTATCAGATGTTGCTCTGATCCCAAAGTGGAAAACAACGACGGTACCACAAACACCCGAGACAATATAGAAAAGTTCGTTTTCTACACTGACACGGCCGGGGATCGAATCCGGGACCTCAGAGATGGTGACACCATGTAAACCGGTGTGCCAGCCTCTGGAGGCCGTCAGACTCTAATAGCAGCTCGTTGTGAAAGAGTTCGTCCAAGGAAGGACGACACCTATTCTGCTGTATTTCTCATAACTAATTTGATAACTTTCCAGATACTGGGCACCTAAAGTATTATTTTTTTTAATTTGAATGTCAATTACCCTGATTTTGCTTAAAAATAAAACTGAAACTAAAAAAGATATAAATAAACCGCTTCTAGGGTGTTATACATCCCGTTTTGCGGATTCCAAATATGTTAATAACTCAATTTCGCAAAATTGTCGATTACGTTAGTAATGACATGGAGAGCAGCATTTTTGCTTGTATACTTTTACCATTTAGAACGTGTGGCATTATAATGTTTGTAACTAAATTCAGAAGAAGACGTAGCCAAAAAACAAAAAGTAACAATTCTTTCGTTTTCCGAAAGATGAAACGATGTAAGTGAAAAAACTTATGTCTGAAGACTCATTCAGTTATTGTTTTCTTCATTTGTTTAGTGCAGAGTAAATATTATACAGACTTATTGTACTGTAATATAGTAGACAACGTTCTCAAATTTTCAATTTGTATTGCCGATAAATATGTAGTGAATATAATTATTAACTAAGTAATGACAAAGTTGGACACGCAATTTCAAATGACTTGGTTACCTTACGAGTATTTAAAAGTACCTGTGTATATGTGTAAATATGTGAGTATTTAAAAATATAACATTTTAGGTTCTTTTAAATCTATTTTTTTAAATAATCCTTCACGATTGTTCTAGTTAGTGAATTAATAAAAAACATAATATTATATTGATATAAATACTAATGAACATGTGTAATTATTAGGATTTTATTAATAGATTTATAGATAACAGATTCGCGCTAGAATTTTCGCCATGTTGCCGCTCTGACCACGTAATTGTACAAGATAGTAATGGGTAACCC